CTTATTTTCGCATATTATTTAGGTTTACCTATTTATTAGATGGTTAGTGAGTGTCGATATCGATCCTTCGCCACTACTTCTTTGAGTTTAGACTTGATACTTACTGAATACTATGATTTTGTACTCATACTATACTTTTGTACATTTTTGTCTAGGTTCCGAGACTAGTATTAGCTATACCATTTAGTTGAGTAGGAGTACTATGTTGGAGACTTTGTGGTGCGCTGCTATACTTGATCCGATTCGTAGGAGTCCGACTTCCCTACCTTTCTATTTCTATCTATGTATTCTTTTACGGATAGATATTTTGTTCAGTTGATATTAGTTACTCGTTTTAGATGTACGTAATGTAGTAACACCGGGTTTTGAGCAGTTGAATAGATAGTTGTGATCGTGTTTAGACCCTATCATGGATCATGTACTCATGTTATTGATTTGAAATTTATTTCGCATTGTTATTCATATTATGAAACAATTAATAGCTTAATAATTGGATATTGTGATATTATTTGAGTGTTGGCTTGCCTAGCGAGGAGGTAAGGCACCATCATAGCCCACCATAATCTCGCATGTGCGACACACCAGTACCAGGCCTGCCAACAACCATCAAAATTATTCGGAATCAATTCGAAACACACCCGAGCCTCCTAGAACCCCGTCCAATCATACCAACAAGTTCAAATACTTAATCCAAACTTATCCAAATGCTTAAAACATATTAATTAACATCAAAACTGAGAATCGATGCTAGAATTCGATCTCTTAACTTCCAAACTTTCTAACGTTACCATACACGTCCGAATCATGCCTAACCATTCTGGATTTTAACCAAACTTTACACAAAAATTCCAATCAGCTAAGTGAACATATACAAACTCTCAAAACACCAATAGAAATGCGATAACCTCAAAGTCAACTCCCGATCAAACCTATAAACTCTCTAAACCTTTAAATTGCCAACTTTCGGCAAACAGAGCCAAAATCTTCTGGAAACCTCCGAATCCAAATCCAAGCATACACCTAAGTCCAAAATCACCACAGAAAACTACTAGGACCATCGAATCACCAACCCGAGTCTGTCTACTCAAAAGTTAGACCTTGGTCAACTCTAGCAACTTAACCTTCCAAAATGAGACAAAATATCCCAAATCCATCTCAACCCTCCTGGAAACAAGCCAACCAATTCCACAAGTCACAAAATAACAAGAAAACATGCAAAAAGCATCATATAGGAGAATAGAGCTCAAATAAATAAAATAATCGGTCGGGTAGCCACACTATAGGAGTATCAATTGTCTTCGCATTGTTCATCTCAAATATTTTAAGCAGTTCTTTGATGTACTTTTATTGATGTGTCATCATCTTATTTTTAATTTTCTTAACTTGTAATCCAAGGAAGAATTTTAGCTCTCCCACCATGCTCATCTCAAATTCACATCCTATATTGCAAATTCTTATAAAAAGATTCATTAGTTGCACCAAAAATAATATTATTAACATAGATCTAGACAATTAACAAGTTCTGACCCGTCTTCATCAAAAATTGAGTGTAGTAAATTTTACCTTTTGTGAACCCATTCTCAAGAAAGAATTTTGATAATCTCATACCATGCTCTTGGTACTTTCTTTAATCCATATAATATTTTGTCCAATTTATGCACATGATCAAAAAATTCATGACTTTCAAACTCTAGAGGTTGACACACAAATACTTCTTTTAGATACCTATTTAGGAATTCACTTTTAACATCAATTTAATATAAGTTGAACATGACGTAGGATTCAAAAGCAATAGGCATATGTATAGCCTCCATTTTAGCAATCGGTGCAAAATTCTCATCATAGTTTATATCTTCTTCTTGATTTTAATCTTGTGCTACCAACCTTGCCTTATTCCTAGTGATAGTACCTTGATCATCCAACTTGTTTTTGAAAACCTACTTGGTTTCTATAAATGTTATGTCCTTTGGTCAGGGTTCCAGATGTCATACTTTATTCCTTTCAAATTAATAAAGCTCCTCTTGCATAGCCGGAATCCAATCAACATATCGAAGAGCCTCCTTAAAATTTTTAGGCTCAACCATGAACAAGTGGCAAACACACAAGTTTGTCAGTTTGGATGTTGTCATGATTCTAGAATGTACTGAGAATATTTTCTACTGGATCAGAAACTTTATGCTTTAAATTTCATACTTGCACTCCCTGAATATCATCATTTTCTTCCTGATCGATGGAAGAACTAGGTTCACTATCACCAGTCGTTCCAATATCAACCTGTTTGGTTCCCCCTATCCGTTGTACATCATATTCAGCTTTTAGAGAACCAAGTTCTTGTGATGTATTTCCTTGATCAACAGTATTCTCTAGAATATCTTGATCTAGTCCATCAACATGAAGTTGGGTGAGTCTAATTTCCCACGATTTTCCTTCCATGCAAGTATTTTCATAATTAATAAATCCTTCTTGACCGTGAATTCCTCCAATTATTACCATACCTTCAGCCCAAGAAATAAATCCTCCAAGGAATTAAACTTGCATAAGGAATTATCTTCGCAGCTTCTGATTAGCGTCTTCAGGTGATCTAGTTCTTTTGATGTCTGTCCTGGTTCTTTGGATATTTGCTTGACACATTTGCAATCATGTATGTTAGCATGATATATATCATCAAGAGATCTGGTTCTTTGATAACTGTTTGTTAATCATCAAAATCATTTTTAGCTTAGCTCAAGAGTTCTTAAACTAATACTCAGGAGAGAAGCCAAACATGTTTCAACACATTGTTCCGCCATTGACGACAGATTAACTTGCAACTTGCTTCGAGTTTATAATTTTTTAGATTATGCAATCAATACACATGCTCTCTCTCTCTGTGTGTATGTGTGTAAAAGCTGCAGAAAATTACATATGCAATAATAGTTGAGCAACAGAGACACTCACTAGACCCACAAACCCTTATTCATCTATCTCGTCGGACTTGCTATATCACGAAAACCCAAAATCAGTTTTCTTTCTTCCTTTATAGTTTCATCACCTACCATGATCAACCCAAAGCTACCCTAAAATTCATGGCGGCTTTGCATCGTTATACTAGTGGGACGAAGCCAACTAGAGAAGGAATATGCTCAACATCGATGGAAAAGGGAGAGTTTTCATAAAAAATGGGATTGAGATTTTGTGTATGACTAGAGGCGAATAGTGAAGGAAATGCGGGTGGTGCTCAGATTTCACTTAAAATGTAATTAATTGAGCGACCAATTACAAAAGGACATGTGTCACTTTATCCAACTTTTTAACTCACGTTTTTACCTCTCACGCGTAATTCGTGAAGTAGTTTTTCCTTCCCTTCCTTTTCGAGATAACTTTTAGGGTACAATATATGTATTTTCCTTAAAAAGAGAAAATATTCGATTTAGTTATAGGTGACTAGGCAATCATCTTTCAGCGTACGGTTTAAGATTGGACACAAAATATCCGTCCGGCTCAAACATATTACATCTAATAGTCCGAAATATTTATTTTGTATATTGATAGTTTATTTTGTATATTTTTATATAGTGACAATCTATTTAGTATTTTTTTTGTATAGTGAAAGTCTATTTTGTATATTTTTTATATAGTGACAATCTATTGTATATAAGTGACAGTCTATTTAGTATGTTTTTTATATAATGACAGTCTATTTTGTATATATTTTTATAGTGATAGACTATTTAGTACTCCCTCCGTTCCAATTTATGTGAACATGTTTGACTGGGCACGAAGTTTAAGAAAAAATGAAGACTTGTGAAATTTGTAGTCCTAAATATGTTAGAAAGGGGCTCAGAGTATTTGTGTGATTATAAAAGCTTTTCATTAAGGGTAGAATTGGAAATTCAAGCTAAATTATTTCCAAATTTAGAAAGTTGTCATTCTTTTTGGAACAGACCAAAAAGGAAATATGTTCATATAAAATGGAACGGAGGGAGTATATTTTTTGTATAATGACACACTATTTTGTATAGTGACAATATATTGTATATAAATTATACAGTGACAGTCTATTTTATATATTTTTGTATAGTTACAGTCTATTTTGTATATATATTTTGTATAATGACCGTCTATTTTGTATCTCAAGCACTTTTATCTATCCAATGTGTATAGACTGTTATATATTTCTTCCAAAAGACCAAAATCCCTCTTCAGAAATATTTCATCTTTTCCTAAAAAACCAGTGCTGATTCTGGTCAAACTTTGACTTTTTCTCAATTCAAAACAATTGTATCCAAAATTTCCCATGGTCTAATTCCCAACAAGTTTGGCCTGAGTGGGAATTTTGCTATCGGAATGACGTCTAGAGTTGTCAAAACGGGTCGGCCCAGCCCAGCCCTTGCGGGCCACGAAAGTTGATGGGCTAGGACGGGCTGGCCCTTCATGCAAAAGAGCCTTAAAATGGCTAGCCCAACCCAGCCCTAAGAGGGCCGCAGGCTAGGATGGGTCAGCCCTTTAATTTTAGCCTTTTTTTATAAGATAATTTTATTTTCAAATGGTTAATGAAGCTTCAAGAATCAAGATATGATGACAAATAAAGAAATGGAAAAGACTTGAAAACATACCAATAAAGTGAAACACACTTACAACTTAAACTGTGACAAAATTTATTATGAATTCATCAATACTTTGTATATATCATAATTGCAATTTTGTCAATTAAAATCAGGAAACTAAATAATTGTCCAAGTTATTAATAGATCAACCAAATGTAAAAAATAAAAGCTCAACAACCAAAATATACTATATTAGACTTCTACGTAGTGTCTAATCAAATCTTAGGTCCATAACCAAACTGCCAGTAATATTGCTAAAATAATATTGTATAATAAAAAGTCATTAAGCGAACGACATCAGTCATCACAAAAATAAAAAAAGACCTTAATGGAATAAATTCCTCCTAAACAACGTTTTACTAGCACTTATAGCATATCTAATACCAACACATTATCAGACATATCTAAATTCGCTTATGATAAAATTGCCTTAACATTGTCATCTTCATCTTCGTCTGCAATTCATATGCAATGTTGATTAGTTAAACATTAACAAATAACTATATTTTGAAAATAAACAATATTAAATCTACATAAAAATCTTACCACTTTGAGTTTGAGTAAAGTCGTGCAACCAATTTCGAGTAGCAACAAGTGTTTGGACATTTTCATGATGGATGCAACTTCTATATTTGGTGAGAACACGACCACCAATACTGAATGCTGATTCTGATGTTATAGTAGTAATCGGGATACTAAGTACATCTCTCGCCATTACTGATAAGTCAGGATATTTTCCAGAATAATTCTTCCAATACATGATAATATCCATTTCGCGAAACTTCTCAAAATCAAGTTTTGGCTCCTCTAAATAAATATCCAGTTCTGATTTTCCATCATTGGAAGCAGATACATTCTCAAATGCTTTGAATTCCTATAAGTTAAACACATGACAATACGCTTAGGATCTAATAACTAATAATAATAATAATAATAACAACAGTGAAAAAAGAAATAGAAAAATAAAATTACTTGCATCGAATATTTTGAATCATGTTCCTTTGGATTTACTTCTTTCTTTACTTGGTGTAGTCAGGGTACTAGAAGAAGCACTCGCAATATTTTGCTTATTTGCATAATGATCATAGAGCTCGTACAATTTATTTTTCACATGCTCTATTTTTTCTTGTGTAGAAACCGAATCCAGCTTAGAGTAACAAAGCTTTAAAAATTGCAACTTCATGCGAGGATCAAGGATTGCTCCAAAAGCAAGCACTACACTATATAGCGTCCAGTATTTTTTAAACTTTTCATGCATTCTTGAAGCCATTTCCTTAATAACCTCATCTTCATTATTCAAATTCTCATTAAGCATGCACTCAATTCTCCAAACTTGCATAAAATACAAGTTGGATGTTGGATAACTTGAACCAGAAATCAAGTTAGTTGTCTCATAAAAAGGCTCCAAGAATTGAAATATTTTCTCCGCCCTTCTCCACTGATTCAATGTAGGACAGTAAGTATAATTTCTATCTATTAAATGTAGACTAGCAAAAGCCTTTTTATACTGGAGTGCACTATCAAGCATCATATATGTCGAGTTCCATCTAGTTGATACATCCAAACGTAAACCAAAATTTGTTTCAATTCCAACTTCCTTAACACATTGCTCAAACTTTTGTTTTCTCCCATCCGATCCTTTAACATACTTAACACTTTCCCTTATTGAAAACAAGGAATCACTAGCTGCTTTTAAACCCTCTTGAACAATTAAATTCAAAATATGAGCAAAACAACGCACATGAAAGAACTCACCATCACACAACAAACTCTTTTGCAACCTAAGATGGCCTTTCAAAATATTTTGTAAGCTATCATTGGCAGTGGCATTATCTAAAGTGATTGAAAGTACCTTCTTATCTATGCCCCATTCTTTCAAACAGTCATATATAGCAGTAGCCAATTCAACTCCAGTATGGGGAGGATACATACGACAGAAATTAAGAATTTTACAAGCCAACCTCCAATTTTCATCAACAAATTGGGCAGTTAAACAAATATATCCCTCAGAGTTAGATGATGTCCAACAATCAGAAGTCAAGCATACCTTATTAGGAATTTTTGCTAAGATTTGTTTTAGTTTCTCCTTCTCTCGGATATACACTTTCTTGACATCTGCAACACAAGTGTTCCTAGAAGGCATCTTAACATCTGGACTTATATAATTTACCCAAGACTTAATTTTATCATACTCGACGAAAGAATATGGCAAATTATGCTTAATGACAGCTTCAGCAAGGATACTACGATGTGTCCATTGATCGATTTTTCTAGATTGCATTTTACCTTCTTGATTCAAGAACATTTTACCTAAATCATGAACTTTAAGCATTGGACACTGATATTAATGACGATGCAAATGTGATGTTCCATAGTGTTTACCTTTGGGTCCCGGAGTTGAACCAACCTTAAATGGTTTCTTACACCCTTTACATTCAGCCCTTTCAATTTCATCTTTAGCTTTGCCAATTTTTTTGAAATACAGCCACACATCTGATGTTAACTTAGTTTTTTTCTGACTTGGTTCTGCAGAATCATTTACCTCCACAACGTCCTCAATATGTTCATGTGTTCCATTTGAATCATCCATTGGTCTTCCTGTAACAAAATTTCAAGAAGTGTTAAGTTTATAAAGTAAACATCATTGCCACTACAAGTTAGTAAAACTTTTGTAAGAAAATAATTATTAGAGTGCTTACTCAACTTTTGAACCAAATGTATCCCAAATCGTGCATTCACGATGTTATCGTAAAGGAATCTGACAATGTCATTATAATTTAAGAATAAATTCATATTATCTGTGCATCACCTAGTTCACAACATTCTAAAACTACTCCGTTATAACTTATAATTAAAAAAGCTTCAAAAGCCTTTAAAGCATTCCATGCAAATAAGTAATTTATTTTTACTAATATGTTAACTGAATAGAATCTTAAGTTTTAATATGTTATTAACGAGAATATTAAGATTTACTATGTTATTTTCTTTGCCCAGATTATCATAAATACTATGTCATGAGACTTTTAAATAAAATATTAATAAGAGTTTTAGCATAGTATATTCATTTATATCTAAAAGAGCAGTTGGTAGTATCATAAATTCATAATCTTTCTTTCTTTAATCCTCCTGAGGCGTACATTAAAAGCTGACTAATCTTTTCATAAATTAATATATTTCTTGCATTGCAGCAAAATTCCCATTAATTTATTTTAGTTACTTCTAGGCTCTAGCTTAACTTTTTATATTTTAACTAATTGACTTAACACAAATCAACACATACATCTAAAGCCGTCAAAATATAGTAAATAAATAAAAACAAAAGCCTAAATATGATCCATATACATATACAAATGCATATAGAATAGACATAAACCCAAAATAAAATAGAGAAATATATATATGCATGAGAATAAAATATGAAGCAAACAGATCATTAGTCATGTACATAATGGATTGAATAGTCCAAATATTGAACTTATTTATTTGTAAGATAGAAAGATTAGTAAACTCAAGAGAAAAAAACTAATTACCTGTAGTAAGTCGTCGATGCCGAAGATCAAGAAAGAGGGAGCGATAAAGAATTGAGGATTGAGGGGAGGTAGGCAGAGAGTTGCGTTAATATGTTAGACTATTGAGGAAGAAAAATTTATGATTAGGGTGCAAGACTTACGTCTTTAGCCCATTCAAAATCTTTACTTCCTTTTTTTTAATTTAAAATTTGAATTAAATAAATTATTGGCCCGCGGGCCAGCCTCGACCCAGCCTCAGTCAAGCCTCAAGGGCCGCGGGCTAACTTGGGTCGGGCTTCTTAGACTCAGCTATAAAATGGGCTTAAAATATCTTAGCCCAACCCTACCCTAGTAACGGGCTGGATTGGGCTGGCGGGCTAAGCCCATTTTGACAACTCTAATGACGTCCAAGCCGAACGAGTAAAACACCCTTATTCGAATCATCAGCTTCTTCGGTTCGGCGCTCGCTATAGATGGAGCGGGAAGTGATAGAAGCAGAGCTAGTACTGCCAACTCACATGAAATTCAAGAAGATTCAGATGTACGACAAGTACCCCAAAGGACAGGCTAGAGGCCGTCATTGGAAGCATCTCAAGCAGATCATTCAAGCTGAAAATTACGATAATTATCCTCCTCACCTACCTACTTGTGAGTCTCAATCTTTCACCTGTACCCTATTTTTTGCTGTCAATTAAGCGTTTCAATTCCTTTGCCCCTAATGTAGAATAGGGCTGTGTTCTAGGTTTTTGCAAGATATAGCTATACTTATTCAGTTTGGCTCATTTGCTGATTTTCTTAATTCTGTTGGTATCCAAATATTTTAGTTTACTTAAAGAAAAAACTGTTGTGTAACCAAACTTTTGTTGGTTCGGTTTTGGCTCAATCCTGAAGTTGATCGGTTAACTTGGATTGAAAATTTGGTTTATTGTATCCAATGAGCATATAGACAAAAAATAGATGTAGGTATAACACCTTAGATCCAAATTGAAATGCCCAAACAATTTCACATCGAATTCTTGTTGCCTAACTTGATAGAAAGTTAAGTTCAATTTCGTAGTTATTCGATCACGACAATCAAATTACTAAACCAATCATTGATACTTCTTTTCCCACCCAAAGGTTGTTCATGATACTTGATGGCAGTATTATTATATCTGCGAGAGAGAGATATTTGGGGTGGTGGTGGCGGTAGTGTGACGGATCTTCTACTTCTTTTGAAGATGGCAGACAAAGACAGAGAGTAGAGAACACGGAAAAAAGCGGCCTAAGTTGGCTTTGTGCTGAACATATAATATGGGACCTCGATGTCACACGTCATGCATTTATTGGGCATGCTTGACTTCTTGATTGTTATTCGTATCATTAATTCTCCAATGGGTGTGCTTGACTTTTTGAGCTTTTATCTATATTGTTAATAATTTCAACACTCCTCTTTAAGGTGGAGAATAGAATTTTATATACTCCAAGTTTGTCATAAATATACTGATTGTGTGGTCCTCTCACGGCATTTGTGATGTTTACTAGTTGGTTATTTTTTCCAAATTAAAGGATGCTTGTTGGTCCAGTGTGCTGACAAATTCTACCACATCTTCCTTGGAAAGAGCTTTCTTTCAAACGACAGTCTATGTCTATACTCCGAGTTACTTCACAAACACTATGGTGGAAGCTATATGGAGAGCCTTAGAATTAGAGCTATTCCTCAAGCCAACTGCTGCAATTTGCTGCTGCCTGGATGGTACAAAAACAGGTGCATTTGGGCTTAAACCTTTCTTGCTTGACTCACTATTAGTTGAATTGGAAATCTGCTCGTTATTCACCTTTGGTGCCTCTTCATTGGATCTCGGACTCGATGAAAACTGATCTGCCGCATCATCACTATCATCTTGAAGGCTATCTGCATAATCTTCTTCATCCTCCTCATCCTCTATTTGATCAGTTCATGTCTTTCTATTAAACACAGCTGCACTTGTCACGGCTTGTTCTTGTTTAGAAACAAAACTCTCGCTTGTAGAATTTGCTTGGGAAATTGTTTGCACTAGTTGTTGATTGTTTCCGGTAGATAGTAGTTGCTGCAATGAATCTCCATCTTGTTCACCAAATGACTCTATAGATTGGGAGGGAACTTCATGAACCGATGTGTGTAATGTAACCAAAGGTGTCTTGATCATAGGATTTGTATTCATCACCAAATCTGCCTGTGTTTCCTTTACAGACTTTGCAATTTCTGGACTGGTGAATTTCAGTGTTGGTACAGCTTCATTAGTTCTTGGATATTAATAGCATCAACAGATACAATTTCTTTTGAAGCGTGTGGTCGAGCACCTATATCTTTTGAGTTTTTCTGTTGCACTCTGCTGCCTATCGAGCTGGTTTTTCCAGTTATTAACGTTGCCTCATCGTCCACCTGTTGCACCTTATTCCCAGCCTCCTTCACATCATGATCACGCTCATCCACCAAAGCATCAAAAGAGTTCGACATACCAATGGTATTTGCTGGTAATATCTGATTTTGATGCCTGGAGATTGCTTTTTGCCAGGAGTTCGATTCACCACTGTCCAGTCATGATTCACCACTGTCGATTCACCTATATCTTTTGAGTTTTTCTGTTGCACTCTGCTGCCTATCGAGCTGGTTTTTCCAGTTATTAACGTTGCCTCATCGTCCACCTGTTGCACCTTATTCCCAGCCTCCTTCACATCATGATCACGCTCATCCACCAAAGCATCAAAAGAGTTCGACATACCAATGGTATTTGCTGGTAATATCTGATTTTGATGCCTGGAGATTGCTTTTTGCCAGGAGTTCGATTCACCACTGTCCAGTCATTATTCCTTGTAGCAGGTTTGCTTGGAATTGCAGCAGATTTCCCTGGAGTATCAAATACCTGGCCTACACCTTACCATAGAATTAACAACCTTAGGTGTAGCTCGATCCATTGTTCCAGTCGCTGCAACAGTAGGTTTCAACATCCCAAAAGCAGACTGCTCAACTCCAGCTGAAAGTTGAGGATGTTTAGCCTCTATATTCGATGCTTTAGAACCTGTAGTAGCTGCACACTCCAAAGCCATAACACCTACCTGTTCTTGCCCCTCATTAGCCACACCAGTAGCTAAAACCTGCTGCTTTATCAGCTGAATCACCAGCTGCAACAGAAGGTCGATCACCCCCTGCTACTGGCACTGCACCAGTACCATTCAGCATAGGATTAGCTTGTAAATCTGAGTTCACATCTTTGTAAATCCTCGCCAAGGCTGTAGTAGCAGGGACATCACGTGAAGGTTTAGCAGGACCCTTCACCATCTTTGAGACAACACCTATAGGATCATCTGTAGCAGCGTTATTATTTAATGCATCACCCTCTCGATTTCCAGTAGTTTTTTGTTGTTGTAGCTCATCACCTTTGTCACCTAATTTTACATTTACAAGTGCATCATCTCCAATCCTAGCCGACCTATGATTAAGCACACCTATAGAGACATTCCCAGGTTCCTTAGAGTCAAAACCTCGACTAATCCAGTAGAAGCAGTAACTTGTTTAACTCCCTCATCCTGCACCTTCAACAGCTGTTGTTGATCATCATGAGTCTCATCTGGAAGTTTCAGGCCCTTTGTAACATCTGTAGCATTAAAATCATGCAAAGTTGCATCTGGAATATTGCCTGGCACAATCTTTAAACCTTTTGAGCCACCAAGGTCCTTCTCCTCACGATCAGCTGTAGCTTTTGGAACACCAGCATCAACCACTTCGTTAGCAGACTGTTGCATCTCTCTTCGATTCTCAACACTTCACCTTGTAGTCGACATGCTTTCTCCCCATGGCCTTGATGCTTACAAACACAATATAATGGAAGATCATCATAAACTAATTCCTGCAAGTGCTCAACAACTTCACCAGTCTTCTCATTCACAAATTGTAATCTCACGTTTGTAGGCAGCTTATCACGCAAATCCAGTTCAACCTTTACCCTAGCATTGCTAGGTTTTGACTTCACCGTTGTTGCTCTATGAATTGCAATTGGTTTACCAGCAGCAGAAGCTATAGATAAGAGCAACTGCCTAGCAAATAGATTAGGCGGCAGAAGAAATCCAAACAAAAGCTCTAGATGACTCTTCTTTAGGATTAAACAAAAACGACCATGGAAAAACTCTAATTTGGAACTCTTCACCATTGCACTTCAAATAATACAAAGATTTAGATGCGGCTAAAACAAAATCTTCATATTTGTCAAACCTAACCAAAATATGTCGACGAGCCATTACTCCGATCAAACATCGATTTGTCGTCCCAAAAAGTTTGGACAGTAACTTGCGTTATTCCAGAATTTCAGGCTGTCCATACGAGAATTTGAGCACTACAGCTTGATGAAGACCTTCTTCCTTTGTGTATTGATCAACTTCTTCCATGGTAAACTTGATAGTAGGAACTCCACGAGTAAACTCAATAGGTTTCAGATTCGTTTTTTGTAGTTTTTGGACTGTTTGGTTTGGAATTAGTTGAGTAGCATATGTTGTGTTAGAAATAGGGTTTTTGGTCGTCTCTCCCACAGCTTGAAGCTGGGGAGAGGGCTGCACGTCCATGGCAGCCAATACCACTCCATGTCACCGTAGAGGAAAGGAGAGAGGAGAGGGTGTGGGTTTAGGGTAGTGTGGATTTAGCAACAGTCTATTTGTTTCCCAGTTTAGGGACATTTTTTTGCAGATATTCCTTTTAATCATTCGTAGCTTAATGAATATTTCAAAGTTTTGACTTTGTTTGCTCAATCCCTGCAGATGTTAACATTGAATCACCACCTTCTATGCATCCATGCAAAAAGATATGCGACGTAACAGGATTCGAGGTACCTTTGCCCCAGAGTGCCTTGTATGATATGGTCTAAATTTCTGCTTGCTTTCCTGTGCTGTCTTACTGTCACATCCTCTCACTGAATAGGGGTTGTGTGCATTCTTAGTCCTTTATGCCACGAGAAATTATTTTGCTGCACAAACGTTTTTGGATGGTAAAAAAATTCTTATGTTTGACATGCAGGCACCATATTTTGACCCAAGAACTAAACTCCGTTATGCTAACACCGAGGTTTTCAAGATAATAAGATCGCTTCCTAATGACTATGTTCAGAGGTATTTGTCTCTCAGAAATGCAGCTGTTGTTTTGAAATAGGTGCAGTACGAGAAATAGATAGTTGAGAAATTTCAGTGCCCTTTTCCATTTTCAACTTCATAAACGGCAAAATTATTGTCCATGACCAATTGACGAATATCCGTATCTGAAGGTAGAAGAGCATTGTACGCTCTCTCAACAGCAATCAAATTTGCAATTTCTGTTGTCCCAAAATAGTTGTACTGCCCTAAGGAGACACGGAGTTTTTGCATTTTCCTGTTTTCCAAACCTTTGCAACAAGGATTATTCATAAAACTAAGACTTACCAAGAAAAAAGAACTAGAAAATTAGTTGTATATAAAGTTAGCGGAAACTAAAGATTTGATTAACGTACTCATAACTGATGAAATGTTATACATGTGAATTTTGCTTGTGGGGTGTTGGTATTTAGCTTCTTGTTGAATAGTTGAATTGCCTCATTTCACATGTTCTGGTATTGTGTTTTTGCAACTCTTACCTATTTGGGGCAATCCAAACAGTGCAATCTTCCTTGCTTCAACTCCATATAAAGTCTAGCTAGTGTCAAACAAAATCCAGCCTAAAGAAAATATTCATACATAAAGTATAGGAAGATTCTACTAATGAATCCGAACCTGTAGTTGATGGGAATATTGCTCTTTCATATTGACTTGGTGTGTAGAAACGACTTGCTCTGGCATATATAAGGTAGTTGATGTAGTCATTGCTGCCTGCCCAACAATGTATAAGCATTTGTGTAACACTCCTCAAATCTATAAAAGTTTCAAGACACGCTAAATATAGAATTTAATTTTTCCCCCTTAAATTATACTTCTATTACGGATTTAAATCCTTGTGAGTGATTTTGAGTTACATCTATATTTATAAATAATTGGCTATACAATTAGGGAATATTAATAATTTTAATATTATTAATTATTAAAAGTGGGTATCATTAATAATTAAAAAACAAAAAACAAAAAAAAGGGACAAAATAACCAAAGCCCTTAAGCCCATAAAAAGGGTTGTTGAAAAGCGTAAGGCAGGCTTAAAGCCTTAAGCCTTCGAACGAAAAAGAAATTCCAAGCAGACTTCTGCGTATAAGAAACAGACGCACGTCCCAGCGAAAATACTCACACAAGCAACGGAAAATTCTAGGGTTCTTACCAATTACTAATTCTTGAACTCAGGTACATAGAATTTTCTATTCTCAATTATCCTAAAGTAGTAGTAGGTAAGAATAAAATAGTTAATTTCCTTCTTCCTCTATATTAACAATAAATTTCATGTTTAGGTGTGAAACTTTAAAATTGATTAAAATGTACTGATTGTTGTAGAATTGATTGTTTGACTGGTGTCAATTGGACTGGGGTCTACATATTGGCTCGAGAAGTTTTGAGGTGAGTTGATACAACCCATTACTAAAGTGGTTTAACTCACAAAAGCACGCATACAAGGTGTTTGATGAATTGCTTAAAAGAGTTTATATTTACTTAATTGGAGTGAGTGAGTACCTATTAACTTAGAATTGTTCTAGCAAAAGTTTAGACGATTGTTTACCGTGAAAATGGTAATAACAATTAAATTTGTTAATGAGACTCTAAAGATACGTGATCTATTTTTATGCTAGTTGCTAGAGAAGTTGATGCTCGGCATATGAAGATAAGAGATGAAATGCGAGCTAAAACAGAGTTATAATCAAACCGAGAGATCAGTTACTCTGGCCTCGAACTGGCCGGTGAGGGGCCTCGAGGTCGATGCTTGGGCTCGAGCTCGAGCTATCGGGGGTAACCAGGAAGGGAATAACATTTAGAATATAATTGAAGGAGGCTCTTTATGGCCATTATCAAGCAATAAATGAGGAACAAGTATGAAAGCAATAAATGAAAGAGGTAGTCTCGGGCGTGTAAGTTAGAGAGAAAAGAGAGAGATATTATTGATCTTTTGTAGAATAGTTGGAGCAACTTGCTTACAGAGTGCCAATGATTCCCCTTTTATAAGAGGGGGAATCCAAACTTAGTACAAGATACGTTAAATGATAAAGGAGGCAGGATGGGACAGCTAACTAGCTTCATGACGTAGACGTAGACCGGCGTTAGACAACCCTGGTAGACTTGATCGGCCCCGGATGCATTCTTCGGAAGCCTCCTACGCTCGTCGGGGTCTCGGCCAACATTATCCCTGGGCCGGGTGTCGACAGATCTTGAGGGAAGTATCCGGCTCGAGGTCTTGAGCCTCCGAGGCGATCTCATGAAGTACTTTACCAACGAGAAATCGGTCCCCCTGATTTCACCGTACACAGATAGTCTCCGCGTTTCTTAGAGAGGCGCGACAAGAAACGATTTTGACATCCCACTCTATGGGCTCCCATAATGACGTCATGCCGATGACGCAATCCTTTATGAGTGCCGAAACGTTTCACCAGTTCGCTTTTTCAGGGCCATTTCGACATGTCGTGATTTCTTGTTCTTCGGGGCCATAATGTTGCCGTTGATTCGGCTCCCATGAACGCATTGAATGCGCCTGTCGTTACGTTTTTCAAGGGCGATAACGGCGTCGTCGGTTATTTTGCCCTTCTCTTCTATAAATGGGGCTCTTTGTGACAAGTTTTTTATCCAGGTATCCTCCGATATCTATCCTTTCCTCCTTTCTTGCTGTCTTACTATGTTTGAGGCCCATGGCCTCAAGATTTTATGGCGACGTCAAGCATGCTACGGCCTGTCTCCTGAATCTTCTCTGGTCGGGCGAAGCCGTGCTGCCTTGATGCTATTGTTGTTGTTGTTGTTGTTGTTGTTGTTGTTGTTGTTATTATTGTTGTCTTTGCTAGCTCGGGGCGATGAAATAGAGGGCCGATTTCCTCCGACCCGAAGAAGTATTTAGATTATACATCACTGCACAAGAGGGGGCTCGGATTATACACCGTTGCTCACCCTTCTTCCTCGGCTTGGCGCATTATACCCCCTTTGGATTCCTTGGGGTATGGCGGCGCTTTCTACTAACTGTCGCTTCCCAGGTCGAGGCATCGTCTCAAGAAGTGGCTTTATATCAGTAATACTGGCAGAGTTCATACTAGCCAGATTTTTCGTCCAGCCACTTCTTGTCTCCTTTCGGCTTCTCCTTCGTCACTTTGCTCTTCTCCGTCGCTTTCCTCTTCTATGTCTTCCCTTTTGAAGATGCCATTCCGGAAGGGTCGAGATGAGACTCCCGAGGGGACTGGGCTTGGAAGATATTGTCTTTGAGGTCCGCGCCCGAGGAGATGATGCCAAAGATGCCGCTATTGAGGATGCGCTTCTAGGAATAGGCTAGATTCTTAGGCTTTTGTTTTATGTACACCCTTCCTCTTCTTTGTTCCTGTGCAAGGATCCCCTTGCGGGCTTTTGTAATCATATGTAAGGACCCCCCGAGGGCCGTTGTAAGCAAACGTTTGTGAATACAAAGATATTTTCTTGACTCCTGCCTTTGATACTTGCCGTATTTCTTTATGTTTGCGGAAACTCCGAATGCATGATCTTGTTTGTTGTTGCTAATACTGAACCCAGATGCGAGTATTCCTTCTGGCCTTCGGTTGATGAAAACGGCTTCGCACGGGGTCTTTTGCGATTCCTTGGATTGAACCCGGAATAAGGCCGATAACCCCGGGCCGCCGGGACCCTAACTTTGTGCAAAAATGAGAATAATGTTTTGAGCCTCGGAGTCGTGACTTACCAGCTGGGTTCCGTAGTAACCTTTGAGAAGGAATTTGCTCGGGGACCCGTGGACCGGGGTGCTTTTGATCTCTTGAAAGCAGTTTCTGAGCGAAGACTTGCTCGCGCACCTGGAAGCATGTTTTAGTGTGAATAGCCTTATGGTGCTATAGATAGATTCTGAAGGAGTGCTTGTCCGACCTTGGACGGTTCCCGAAGCCAGGTCCGTGCAGGTAACATTCAAAAATGTTTATTTCTAGTTCCCTTTGATGGAGGTCCTCGAAATCGGATGCCACCCTTGTGTTGGAAAAGACGTTGTTGGCTCCTTAGCGCGCAGCCTTACCTCGACGGAGGTCCTCGGGGTCGGGTACCGTCTCAGGACTGGAGAGAGTGTCATCGGTTAGCGTTCCCGACCGATTTTGAGGTAGGCGAGTCGCAGCCGCCTTTCCCACATATAATATGAGGTTGTTTTCACCTTCTCGTGGGTTACCCCGTTTTAAGCAGTTGCCGTTTTCTTTCCGCGCCATGTTTTCAGTATTCCGGCATTAGCACGCCTGTACATCTTTTCACCTTCTAGTTCTTCAATTTTGCGACCGCTATGCCGGCTATGTCGGGGTTTATNTATTACGCCCTTCGTTCCTGTTGTTGAGGGCAACAGAGACCGGGTATGGACAAGTCGCTTCGCCTGGGTGCTGACTGCTGGCGAGAGCAGATTTAGTGGATGTATTTCCATTCCTTCTTATGTAGTGGTTCTATGGGCGTCGGGCGATGTCCTTGACCTACCAGGCTCGGACCGAGGATTTGGCGGCCCACTCGTCCTTCGAGGAGAGCGAGTGGCGAGCTTTGTCCCGGGATAGATGGGAAGCAAATTATTATGGTGAGCATTGTGTTGATACCCAATTTTTCCCTGTATATTTTTATATGCAAAATAATTTCAAAATAGTAGGTATATGCATATATAAGTATGTCCTAAGGTTTTACTATTTTTCTCTTAATTTTTTATAGATTTTTAAACCTATTTATTGCCCTATTTTATCAAGAAAAATCCAATAATTATCCCCAAAATTATCATTTTGGGTGATTCACTTATTGGATTGTCATATTTATATTAAATGTAGTTGGCATAATTTTTGCATATTTTTACAAATTTGTTTAGTATTTTTAAAGCTAAATTGCGTATAATTGCGATATTAGCCTATTTTAAGATTTAATTATTTTCATAATTATAAAATTGACTCCAGTATTTTTAATTTGATAATTACGTATTATTAATCATCTTATTACCTTTAATTTATTTCCAGAAATTATTTTACTATTTTTATAAAATAAATAAGGGAAAAATGACTATTTAAATGTTAACCCCGTTTATTTCAATTTTAGCCTTATTTGAACCTCCAATTGAACCCAATTTTAAACCCAATTACCCTGACCCAATCTCTATTTGAACCGACCCAAACCCAACCATGTTAAACCGCCCCACTTACTCAATTAATCTAGGTCGTTGATCAAAATGATCAACGACCACCAAATACCCTTTCCTTTTTAATCCTGACCTACCCCCTAACCCTAACCATTTCACAACCCCAGCCGCCTCTGAAACCCTGCACTCTCTCAAACTCTCTCTTGTCTTCTCAGAACCCTAGCCGCCTCTCACCGCTTCCACCCTGAAAGCCACCGGAATCCATGGCTTCCAGGGCAATGAGAGTCTTATACCTACCTCCCGTTGCTCTTACACACCTGATCTCTGAA